TCAGGAAAGTTTTTTTTTCCTTCTTCCTTTTTTTTTTTTTTTGACATGTTATGCAGTACTGCCATCTGCTGGAATTAGTGAGACTACTTCCCAAAAGTTGGTGCTGCCTCCAGTTATGTTCAACTGGACGAGGCCAGCCTTAAGAACGATTTAAAATTTGTTATTGTTTCCTACTCTTCTTGACCTGATCCTGCTCTTTACCCATCCCACATTTATCCTCTTCCTCTCGCAAATACAAATACAGAGATAAAGATGCTGTGTGGTGTTTTTCAGCATTTTGATTGCCCAGGTTATTCTTTTCTTTATGTGGAGTATCAAATTAATATGATGATTTTGGTTGACTTGGCTATGGATAACCATTGGTAAAATTTAATGTAAAAAAATTTTTTGAGCCCTCTGTCATCCTTGGGAATCCAGATTGCTATCCTGGACCCCATTCATGCCCCCTTAGTAATGTGTTAATTGATTTGAGTTGATAAAGGATTAAATTAAAGCATAGCACGCAGAATTTCAAACACATCAGAAATCAAATTTTGAGAATTGCTGAGAACAAATGATATAGGGGAGTGTATCTGGAACCATAAAACATCATGTATTTGTGTTAATTTAGAAGCATAAAACATCATGCTTATTTATACTGTATACAAATTATGACATATTTAGTGATTGAATTTACTTTAAAATGTGTAATTCCTGTGAAACTGTGAGAGGATGCTATTTATGACAATTCCTTTCAAAAGGAGAATATATCATGTTAAAATGAAAGAATCTTTGGTTGATCGAAGAAACTTGAAGAATTCGATTATGCATAGGTGGGTCTGGGGCTGAGTATAAGGATAAGAAAGAGAACTGAATTTCTGTTTAAGGAAAATAGAGGTATTTGTTCTTATTTCAGGAGGAGATGGGTACAGATAGGAAAAGAAGTAAGAGCTAGAATCATGGCCAGAGGCAGGAATATCAAGAAATGTTTGAGGGTCTTTCTTTCTCATCTCTCTCTTTTCTTCCTTTCCTTCTTCCTATTTCCTCTCCCTTCCTCCTTTTATGCATCCCCCCTCCAATTATCTAATATTAAGCTTTAAGTTGTACATTTTTCTTTCTTGAAATCTTCCTCAATAAAAAGTTTTTATACACAAATTAACTGTAAGTGATTTTTATTTTGGGGGTTGTTTTGTTTGTTGTTTGGTTTGGTGAGATTGAAGCATAAGGTTACTGGAGTTAATGTGGTATGAAAAAGGGCAATCTTGTGAAGAGGGCTGAAATACTCTTAGACTAAATTCATATTTAATGGAACCAGGGGCTCAGAGGCACTTTCCAAAGTACCTGACTTGGAGGCTCAAGGTAAACCCAGGCGATTTTAGAGGGCAGCCTACCTCTAGTTGTTACATGTGTTACATCACTCTCCTTCCTCACCTTCTTGTGTCCACGGTAGGTGAAGGTTCTCATTCTAGTTGGTGTGTGTGTGGGAGATAGATCCTTCCTTCAAAAACAAAGAACTGAGTGTCCTGACTTCTAATTGATTACCAGTTCTTCAGTCTTCCAAAGTAGGTTCGAGGAATATCTTTCAAATCTCTGATTTCCAACATCCAAGTCTTGAGACAAGCCCTCGCTTAGACTGAGTCCCTTGAGTTCTTAGGCCATTCTCTCCAGGTATTTCAGAGCAGCTTTAATCTCAATATCAAGGGACAGCGGATGTGGACAACTAGTTCCCTTTCAAATTCTTTCCAGGGAGTATTGAGACTCTATATAAAACAGTGGTAGGTGGCCTATGATTGATTGTAGGATGTCTGAGCTCAGTATGATCCTTTGTAGCATTCCCCTACAGTGTCTGTAAATATTGGTCGTATCTTTCCACATCCTTCATTTCAAATTTTAAGACTATTTAGAAAGTAATTTATAGTGGTCAAGTGCTAAATTTTAGCATCAGACTTCTGAGTTTAAATCCTTTTCTCACTTCTTATTAGCTATATGTCTTAATCTAAATTCCAGTTTACTCATATGCAAAAGGAAACAATAAAAATGCTTACCTATCACTATAGGTAAGGATTTTATAAGTTCAATATATGTAAGGATTTTATAAGTGAGGATTTTATAAGTTCAATATGTAAGGATTTTATAAGTTCAATATGTAAGGATTTTATTTGTGAGGATTTTATAAGTTCAATATATGTAACGCACTTAGTACAGCACCTGGTACATATTACATGTACTATGTAAGAGTTAGCAACAATTACTTAGGTGTCACTAGAGTCTATAGATGTAGCTTAAGTAGCTATTGTCTTAGGATTTTGCTTCATTCTGGTGGTGAGTTAGGGCCATATATAAAGGGAACTGGTTTATAAGATCACTTCTGAACTCTTGGGTGTTCATCTCTTTCCTTCTTTCCCCTCACTCCATTTTACCCTCTGATGCAGGAATGGAAACTTAGACAAAAATGGATTTTTCTGAAGAATAGGGAAGGCCAGTGTGTTCAGTGTCTTCGATGTTCAATCCAAGTAACATCAACCCATGCTTGTCCTTCAGAGTTTATCTATGAGGCACCTGTGTGCTCCCATGAGGTACAGCTTTTCCAAAGTTTACATATCCCACCTTCACTATTTTGTTGCTTACTCTGCCACATGCTATCATGAAAGGAGATATCGAGAATACTTGTTCATCACTTACAGAGGACCCCTAAGTTCAGAGCGGACATGGGAATATATACATGGCATTTCTGTGAATATTTCTAGTAATTAGAGGCTGTTTTTTAAAAATCACTTAAAGAGAAGTACAACAAAATGCTTAATGAACAAATTTATCTCTGAAACTGCCAGAGAAGGTGGGAGTTTTGTGTGAGGTGAGGTGCATATGAGTGACTGGATCACAGGGAGGAGAAGAAATCACATCTCAATGATCAAGGGAAACTTGGCTGAGAATGGGAGTGGAAGGAGAGGCTGTGGTCCTGGGAAAGAAGTAGGAGAGAGGAAAAGTTACAACAGAAAGTTAAGTGCTGACAGGTTGTGGCCATTAAGTATAAACTGGCTTTGTTCTGGGGGGAGAGGAAGAAAGGTCAGGTTTGGGGGAGCAGGCTATCCCCACCGTCAGTGGGTGCCTATGGTGTGCTTATAATGCTATACCTTCATCTATTTAATGTAGACTTTATGTATTGATTTCCTGCTATGTTAAGTGAATTGTTAAATTATTGAATTTAAAGAACTCCTATTCCAATTTTTTTGTTGTTGTTATGGCTCAATTTTTACTTTATTAGTTTTATTGACAATAACACACTTAACTTTTATTTCAAGTTTTAACTATCTCTTGACTTCCCTTTTTGTAAGATAAGGGTTTTTTTTTTTGGTTTCTACCCTGCCCTTAACCTCCTTCCCCATTCTCTTTTCCAACTCAAATATTAAGGTTGGGAAGATTTATGTTGTTCTTTAACCATAATTACTGATCGAAAAGTTGAAAAACAATAAATGGGCATTTATAATATGTAAAGATGACTTACCTATAGTCAATTAAAGCCATCTAATTACATTTCTTTCACCAGGTGAGTAGATTTGACTTCCAAAAGCAGACATCAAGATAGGATTTACTAGAAAAAATTTATTAGGGGAACACCTATGAAAGAAAATGGATGGGAGCAGGGAGAGGCTAGGGGAGCCATTGGACTGTGATGCATATCTGCAGGAGAGAGAGAAGGAAGAAAAGTTGGGTGGAAGCATCTAAGATTTTAGTGTAGTTTTAAGGAAAATTTGGCAAGGCTGGTGGGAAATCCTTGAGCCTAAGCCACCTGTCAGAGGACTTCTGTCTCTCCCAGGTCACGGCCTGAGCTAGTATCCCTGGAAAGCATGGCCTCGGTGCCAATGCAATGACAGATGTCAGTGCTGTGAAATCTTAAGTCACATCACCAATCTGGGTCCCAACTTCCATATCGGTAGAGTTGGTTGGAGCAGGCATTTTCTCAGGGGCCCCCTGGTTCTAAAGTTCTGTGAGTTGATGCAGTTTTTCTTGAACTGAAATAATTTGCATGGACTCAATCTAGAAAGGAATGACTGCTTATATTGTCCTTGAAACTGGCAGCTAGCACATGATCAACTGCTAAGACTAGTTCTGCACTCAGAGAAAGCAGAATATGTTTAAGAGCTCCATTACCCTCAAGCCAGTTTTCCTGGCAGCTGATTCACTTGTTGAAAGGCTGGAAGCATAGCTTCACTGAACCAAATAGTTTCCAAGAGCACCTTGGAGATTTGGGAAAGAGGCACTTTTCATTTCCTTGAAGGATCAAATTACCCTAAAGGGCAATTACAACCACTTCCCTGGCCATATTTTCGGTGTCTAAAAAAGATCAGATCTTTGAGATCCCTAAAGACAAACCAAAATGTATAAACTTCAGGCTATAAGTCTTCAGCTAAATGGAAAGAATAAACTAAGAACAAGGACTATCTGAAGATGAAATAATCATTTAGGAAGATAATTCGAGCCATCAAAACTTGAAGATTTGATGGTTAACTGATAAAGGTGAACTCTGAGGTCTTTTTTAAACCGAAGACTCTATGAAATTATTTCTAAACAGTTATACATTTTAGAAAGGCAAATATAATTACTGACAAAATTTAAAGTTATCATAAACATTAATTTTAGTTCAATATTTTATAGTTGCACTTTTCAGATGCTGACTTTATGCTTTAACGTTGCTTCTTATATATTTCAATGTTTTAATATTTAGTGAATTTTAAAGTCATCTGATAGACTTTAAAGTCTAACATTTAAATATAGAAGCTTACAGTTATATCTTTGTTTTGATACCATAACTGTATTTTACTGCATGTCAAGTGCCTACTTGGGAACATGACCTTGATTACATTATTTCCAATGAGGGAAAATGACTTGCTGCAAAATATGACAAATGCTTCTACTAACAGGTCAGAACATCCAGTCCTGAATTCCTAAAATATCTGAGTCTATTCTTTCTTCTTGAATAAACAAATAAAATGAGCAAAGTAAACAAAAACAGCAGGAACTTAACATTTTAAAAAATTTAATTCATGAGATACATTGCAGTATATATGTATGTTTGAATATGTATAGAAAAAATATCTGGAGGGATACATATCAAATCGTTAACAGTTTACCTTGGGGGTGTAGAATTGGGGTAGGGTGAGGGGAGTGCTCTTACTTTTAAGTTCATATACTTCTGCATTATTTGAAATTTTACAATGAGAATTCACTACTTTTATAATAATCAAAACTGTAATAGAAATTTAAAAAATAAAAATAGCAACAAAATGTAAAACACACACACATACACATTAGTTTTAAGCGCTACACTGGAGGTATAGAAAATCAAATCACATGACACACTTCCCCACTAATACTGTGGTGGCAAATATAATTGTGTAGTCTACAACCAAAGAAACATTAGAGAAGCCACTTTTAGCAACGTCTCAATTTAAAGAGTCTCCTGGGAAAAGAGCCCTTAAGCAGTGACCCTTCAAGGTAGATATTTAAACTGAAAGCAGGGCCTAACTTTTCCTAGAAGATCTATAGGAAAATATGTCAATCTGAAAACTTCAGACAAAATAAAAAGCTTCACAGAAGTAACCTGGAATACTAAAACATTTAACCGAAGGTCAGAAATTGGAGGGTATGAGAACTTTACCCATTCCAGACCCAAAACTAAATCACTGAAATCTTGGTAATCTAAATGCAGGTTAGAGACATCTACTTTACTCATCTGTTTACCGTTTTCCCCCCAATTTCTCAACTGGTCTGCTTTCTATCTCAATGATTTTAACCTAAAAATACTGCAATTCTAATTGGAAAAAATTCCATCTAGGTTCAGTTTAGGTTTATTCTTCTAGTTAAAAGAACCAGAGAAACTTGAGACTAATGGTTTTCCATTCATTTTTTTCTCATAACTATTTCTAGCTACTTAATGAACATTTTGGGAGGTAATACTTCTAATTTCTCATGGGTCCCTAAAGAAATCTTTTTTCTCATGTTCTAGTTTTTTCTTTTATTGAAGTCATCAGAAATGACAAACTTTTTATTATTATGAACTGTTTTCTTCCAATAAAAGATTCTTCAGGTGACTATCAGTTGATAGTTAAATATCCTCATCAAAGTCAGAACATCTATAACTGGAAGGCTCCATCTTTTGCAAACTACATATTTAAGAGCTTAACTAATTTTTCAACTCCTGAGTGTTCCTGACCCAGGTGTCAAAGGCTTATGTAGGATTATATTCACTGCGTGAGTATGAGAAATCTGACAAAACTTAATCAGAAAATTATTATAAATAGCAGAGATAAAGGGTATAAAGTCATAATGGCCATGCCATTTTTAAAAGTCACAACAGTTGGAATGTTGCTGTTTCTTAATGGATTATAGTATTTCAATTAAAAAAATAGAAAACAGTAAATGATACATTATAATGTATATAAAGTATTTAACAGGATGCCTAGTACACAATAACCATTCAATAAAAATTGGCTCTGTAACAAACAATGGATTAAAACATAAACTAAAATATAAGAACTCAAAATAGAGAGAAGAGCTTTAGAACTGATTTTCTGGAGTATGTAGTTAAATGGAAAGTCGAAGCTCACAAAGAGCAGTAAGGAATTCTGCATTTTCTGGATCTATCTTTTGGGCCCTCTCATAGTATTCAGCAGCTTGCCTCTTTTCGCCCTCCAGCTTATAAACAAACCCTAGGGCACTTAAACTCTGCACATCTAAAGCATTGTGACCAAGTCTCTTGGTAGCCAATTTCTTCAGAGCACTTGTCAGTTTGCTACGCAGGGAAGACCTGTCTTTGACCTTTAAGGCTTCTAAGTAATGGTGGATGGCAGTATTTTCTGATTTACGGTGAAATTCCTGAAAGCGGCCATAGTGGTAGTGGATCTGATGTTTGTGATCATCAGTTATGTTCTCCAGACGAAGGGCTTTCTGGAAAATGTCTTCAGCATTGCTATACTGGCCTCCCTCAGCATACATGTTGGCCAGGTCCGTGTAGGCAAATGCGAACATAGAGTCTCGTTCTACAGCTGCCTTGAAATGAAATATAGCAGATGTAATCAGCCCATCAACTTTCAGCTTATCTTTTCCTTTAGGTCTGTTGCGTGTGGCCTTCTTGATTTGGATCATTTGTGCCCTATAACAAAGTCCCATTTGGTGATGCAGGAAAGAAGAGGTCGGTGTCACCTCTAAGGCCTTTTTCAAAAGTTCAAGGGCTTTGTCCCAGGAATTTTTTCTCCTATAGAATTTAGCTGCATAACGAAGGACATAAGGTTGGGATGATATTTGGTCCAGGATTTCTTCAATGTACTTTTCTCCTTCAGCTTCTGCATGTACATCTTGAAGCTTCAGTGCCAGAAAAACCTTAATGTAGGTGTTATCTGGGTTCAGGGTAACAGCCTTCCTCAGAGGGCCCAGAGAAAAGCTCTTTATAGACCCTTCTCTGTCAGAATCATCCAGCCGATACACAGTAATGGCATAGCCGATGTTAAATTCTGGATTGTCAGGTTCCACTTCCAGAGCCTTCTCAAAAGCCGCTTTAGCCTTTTGGTAATACTTTCCCCCAAATTTCAAGAGTGCCCATCCTTTCTCACAGTCAATCTCAGGACATTCCAACTTGTAGTTAAAAGGACTGGACAATTTCTTGCAGACATTCCCTACCTTATCTATATACTTCTGAGCTTCTTTAAGGTGGTCCATATGATAATACACCCAGGCGTAGTTGCCCCAAGTGACCAGACTTCGTACTTCTTCTTTGTCTGAGTGTTCACGCTGGATTATTTCTTCTGCTTGTTCCAAGCAATCCAGGGCATCTTTATTTTGGCCTTTTAGGTGTTTCACAAAGGCCAATAAATTATAAAGAGTGAGTCTGGATTTCGTAGTAAGAAATTCAAGCTGTTGCCCAATTGTATCTTCCACATCAAAGAGATCAATGTCTTCCTTAAGTAAATTCCATGTAAAGTGGCATTCTAATTCCAACAGAACAGCCTTCAAGGAGTCCTTAGGAATCTCACTGTCAAAGATAAAATCTTTTTTAATTTTTGAAGAAATAAAGAAAACAATTTTAAAACCTTAAATACTCTTCTTTGCTTAACAACCAATTTTTATCTTTCATTTGATCTTACAGTAAATCATAGGCGCCTGTTACTTTATACTAGTTTCCTTGTGTACGGTTATATCCTAGAAATATTAGTTATTGCAAAACCAATTCCGGAGATGACAGTATTTACTATGTTATAGGGTATCTATTTCCTTTTGGCAGTCACTAACCCATAAGGACCACTTATTTTTAGAGAGGGGAATTTAAGTGTTTTATTTACTAGCCTTGAAAATTAAGTATAAATATATATAGTCAATAATTAATATAACATTTCATTTTTGTATTATAAATAGTGAAGGGAGAGAGAAAGAGAAGGTGAGAAATAAAAAAAGTACACTGAAGAAGACAGAGAAGGCACATGAATACATCGTCCCAGCCCCCAGGGAAAGGAAGAAAGAAAGGAAGGGGGGAGGGAAGGAAGGAAGGCAGAAAAAAGGAAAGCCTACAGAGAGAAAAGGCACGAAACGACAGGAAGAGGTATACCAAGAAACGGGGAGAAGCGTTAAGTCTGAGATAAAAAGACAGTAACAGAGATTTAGAGAAAGACGGGGAAAAACCAAAAGGAAGCTTAGTAGGTTTTGATGTAAGTGTCATATGCTTCTGACCTCTGGGATTGTGGGCAACAGCAAAGGCTGACACCTGTTATCAATTTATTATTGCCCTTAATATTCACTTCACCTCAAGAAATACTTGAGCTCTCTGTGTGAGGCACAGTGTAATCTCTGCAGGACCCATTGGAAACACTGTCCCTGATACTGGGAAGGCAAAAGGGGAAGGAAGGGAGATAAAGTATTTATTTATTACAAGAGCCTTTCATGTGCAAGATCTTCTGAATAACCCTGGGGACGTAACCCTGGGGACACAGCCCTGCTTATACAGAGCGTATATTGTAAGAGTCAGTTATAACTCAGGAGTCCAATCAGGTTCCATGGAAGTGACCCAGGAAGGGTACATAGTCCAGTGTTCGGCACAACTGTTGTTTTTACTTGGTGAGGATCCTTCTTCTGGTTTTCCTTTGTGGAACGACCTTTCCCTCTACTCTCAGTCTATGTGATTTGAGATGGATGGGTGTCCACCCTTCACTCTAGTCTGCGGGAAGATTTTCCAGCTATTTCCTGGTTCCATTGATTTATTTGGAGAATGTCCAGTTAAAATATATTTTTGCTGAAACAGGACTTTGCTGAAACTATCTCTCTTCCTTTGAAAAAGTTTAAAATGGAATATAAGCTAGGAATATAAGCTATCTTTCCAAACTCCTGGTGAGAGCCTGCCTGAGAAAAAATCTAACACAGAGGAAAGTAGAGCTTACACAGCAAAAAAAAGACAATAACTCATGATACTGACTAAATACCTGGATCCAGTTTTGCCCGGATCACCTTGTCTACCCACGGACTTCTATTTACTTAAGTGAATAACCCCACCTTCTTCTTGCTTAAGCCAGTCTGAATTGGGTTTCTACTCTATACAACTGACAAAATCCTAATATGCTAGTTTTATTCGTTTGTTTGGCTGATGGTGGTGGTTAGGCAGTCAGGAAAGACTTTCTAAATCTACTATTGGCTATAAGTAAAAGTCATAAGAAAAGTACAAAAAATTTACTTAGGCTTTCTCTCAAAGAGGGAAATGCTCTAATTATGGGATGAACAGTATACAGTATAGCAGAGGTCCCCAACCCTTTTTGGCACCAGGGACCGGTGCTCCTATGAGAATCTAATGCCTGATGATCTGAGGTGGAGCTGAGGCAGTGAGGCTAGCACTGGGGAGCGGCTGCAAATACAGATGAAGCTCCACTCGCAGGCCCGCAGCTCACCCTCTGTGCGGCCCGATTACTAACAGGCCACGGACCAGTACTGCTCCACAGCCTGGGTGTTGGGGACCCCTGCAGTATAGTGTGCATGTGTGTATTTCCTTTTCTGCTGCACACAAGAACCCCTCCCCTTGTACATACAATGTAAACACATATTTGTATAAATGTTGATGGGAACTACAATAATATTTCTATCAATGAACATCTATTGATCAACTCACATCATATGTCAGACAATATTCTAGTTATAGTGGCAAAGTAGTGAACAAGATAGAGAAAGGCCCTCTCTTCATAGTAATTCCATTCTGGGAGAGAAAGGAACAAAAGGTGTTGACAGAAAATAAACTTTTATACAAATCAATGAACGACATAATTCCAGACAGTAACAAGTGTTAAGAAGGAAAAAAAGTCAGAGTAATGGGTTTAAGTGGTGGTGGTGGTTAAAGTACTTAGTTATGATTGCCAAGAAATAGCCCTTGTAGAAAGGTGCAACTGAATTAAGATGTCAGCAATGAAAAGGAGACAGTCATAAATGATTTGAGGGCAGAATGGTCTAAGCCAGGGCTTCTCAACTAGGATGACTTTGCCCCTCACCCCTGGGGACATTTGGTCATATGTGGAGACAACTTTGATTGTCACCACGGGAAGAATGGCTACTGGCATCTATGAGATCAATGCTAGGGATACTGCTAAATATCTTATAATGCACACGGGTCAGCCCCAACAACCAAATGATCCAACCCAAAATGTCAATAATGTTGAGATGAGAAACCCTGGTTTGGACAAAAGTTCCCAAACCAAGAGCAAGTGCAAAGGCCCTGGCGTGGGAACAAATTTGGAGTGTTCAGGGAACAGAAGGAAGTGTGGCTGAAGCATAAACAAAAAGGAGAGTAGCAGGAGATGAGGAGGAGGAGTAGGAAGGGACAGATGATGCAGGGCTTGGTAGGCCATAAAAGGGATATAAATTTTACTTTAATTGCAATGGGAAACCACTAGAGAAAAATTTTTAAGTAGGGAAATGAAAAATAGTTCATCTAGATTAAAAAAAAAAAATCCCCCTGGCTGCTCTGTGGAGAATGGACAACACAGGGTCAAGAGAGAAAGTTAGGAAACTGGTAGGAAAGCTACTTATTTTACTGAGAACCTACTGCATGCAGGACACTGTTCTCAGTATCGGGGCTATAGCAACGAACAAAACAGAAAAAAAAATCCTAACTTCATGTAGCTTATATTCTAACGGAGGTGGAGTGAGCCATAAAAAGACTGAAAATAATTAAAAATATAGACTATGAGAGATGATAGTAAGTGCTAAGGAGTAAAATAAAGCAAGAGAGGGAAATGGGTGGCCGGGAGGGTGCCTGAGAAGTAGTTAAAATTTACATAGCATGGCCAGAGCAAATCTCCCTGAAAGTGACGTGAAGAGACATGAAAGCTGCTGTTGAAGGAATTCAAGCAGAGATGATGCAAGCTTACACTCAGGTTATAGTAGAGGATTAGTGAGGACTGGATGGATGGTTATATTTTAGAGGCAGAGCTGACAGGTCTTTCCGACAGACTAGGTGTGGGGAGGGCCACGGGAGCAAGAAGGAATCAAGGATGATTCCTATGGTTTTTACTTCAGGAACTCAGTGAATAAATCAAGAGAACTATTTGGGAAGTTAATTCTGAGGTGTCTCTTAGTCAAATTAAGATGTCAAGTATGTAGCTGGATACTAATGAAGTAAATCCAGAGATGAGAAGGAGTGAAGTTAGAACAAAGGACATAAAATTGGGAGTCATCGGCATGCAGATGAACTTTAAAACCTCAAGATCTAGAATGAAATTACCTAAGGAGTGAGCATAGACAGAGAAGGTCAAAAACTAAGCTGTAGTTCATTCTAGGTCAAGCAGAGTAGAAGGACCAGGAAAGGAGGCCAAGAAAGAAGAATCAGTGAGGCAGCAGGAAAACCAAGAAACTTGGTACCATGAAAGGTTAAGGAAGAAAATGTTTAAGAAAGAGAGATGAATATTCAATGTGTAAAACGATTCTTAGAGGTTGAGAAAATGAGGACAGAGAAGAGATCACTGTTTTGGCAGGAGTAAAGTTGTGGGGGACCTTGATGAGTGTTTAAATAGAATGCGAGGGGTGAAAACATTATTGGAGTGGGTTGAGGGGATAATGGGAGGTAACAAAGTAGATATAGGGAAAACAGGCCACCCTTGAAAGGAATCTGACTATGAAGGGAGTAGAGCAGTAGAGCTACAGCTGGAGTGAGGCTGGGGGACTTGTTGAAAAAATTTAATCATGATATTTTTAATGACTTAATGATATGCCAATGAGAATGATCCAGTATTAAGGGAGAAAATGCTGCTTGTGGGAGAGGGGGATAATTGCAAGAAAGATGGAATATAAAGCAGAAGTGAAGCTATTCACTGTTAATATTCAAATCTTTATCTCCAGCACCAAACTCTTAACCATGGTTGCCCAGTGAAGCTGGGTAAAAATATGTTAAAAATGATCTGAAGGAAGTGCAAGAATATTGGTTTTCAAAGATATAATTATCATTATTAAGAATAGTGAATTAAAATACTTTTTCCCACAACTCAATTAAAAACTTTGTTGTAGATGCTGATGACCTTCAGAAGTATATCCTCTATCTCTGATCTCTCCCTTGAATTTCAGACTGATCTAATTTTTAAGTCTTCAATTATAAGTTCAACTGGCATCTCAAAAAACATATCCAATACAGAAATCTGGGTCCCTTGAGTCTGTCTCACACTCAGTCTTCCCAACCTTGCAAGGTATCGCTTAGTTCCATAGGCTAAGTAACTGAGAAATAATCTCTCAACACTTCATCAAAATCCAATAGGAAGTCCTGTTAATCAACCACCCAGACACATCTCAAATCCATCCACTTTTCTCCATTTCCATTGCTATTTTCCTAGTATAAACCACAATTACCTTCCCTTTGAACTGAAGCAAAAATCTGGTCTCTCTGCTTCCACTCTTGGTCCCCATACAGTACTAGTAAATTTTTGAAAATGTAAACCAGATTATGTCTGTCTCATGGCTTAAAATCTCCCAACTGCTTAGATATTAATCCAGCCTGCCATGTCTGACAAGTCCCTAAAGGAGCTGACCTTGTCTACCTATTCAACCTTCTCTCCTACTGCTCTCCTCATTCACTGATTTAGACATACTGACCTTCTTCTCATCACAAACATACAAGTTCAAACTTTTACACCTGTTGTTTTTACTCTACTTGGAATGCTCTGGTCTTAAATCTTTGAATGCTAGCTCTTTACAGCTCAAATATTCCTTATTTAAGAGGTTGCCTGCGGCACATCTACCTAAAATAACCCCCTCCATTCTAGGTCACTCTCTTAGGCCATTACACTATTTTATTTTCCTTACAGATCTTATCACTTCCTGAATTATGTTGATTATTTACTCATTTATCTATTGTTTGTCTGTTTCCCCCATTTAAATGCAATCTCCATGAAAATAGAGACCTTGTTCTGATTTTAATTTTTCGCCTCTGTGTCCCTAGGATCTATTATTCAAGGGATATAATAGAAGCTCAAGAAATAAATATTTGTTGAATGAATGAATGAATGAATGCAGTTATATACTGGTAGCTTCTGGCATGTCCAGTCCAGAGGTATGCACCTAGCATAAAAAAGCACATGAATTTCAGATGAGG